AAAAAAATCCAATCAGAACACAAACACAATTAAGAGCATGTAATTACATATAAATAAAAGCGTCCCGGAAGAAAGAGATTATTAGATGAGCTTAGGCGGTTTTGAAACTATTCTCCTCCTATACAGGATTTGACCCCGAGGAGAGAGAGAGTCGAGCTTACAAAGAGCTTCTTCTTTTTGCTAATATGCCCCTCCCCCCAGATTTGATCTCTCGCGCCTAAGGGCGGTTAGAGATAGAAAGCCTCATTCTCCATGTGAGCTTTTAGGGAAATTCTTCCATTTGAGAATACAGCCCTTGGCAAAAAAAGAATGGAAAATAGATACAGTTAGTTGTTGAACTTGCCTTGATCACCAGACTGGTTGGTCTGCTGTTTTGATCTGGTGAGTTTGGCATAGAACTTGCCTGTTCTTCAATGATTTGCTCCATGAAGACTTTGCAGTGTCTGAAACTGGAAGTGGAAGACCAAATCTAATTCTGTGAAGAGCAAAAGAAGCAATCAAGTAAGTTGCACAAGCATCTCTTGCTGGCTCAACACTTGCATTTATATATATTATAAAGGCCGACATATATGACAGCAAAGACCAACAACATAGAGTCATCAAACATTGATTTAGGACTAATATGTGTGTAAATATATTAGATAGAAAATGACTTCGTAGTTAATAATTTGATTGCATTCAAAATCGTATAGAAGGGTTTATGGAGATGATCCAGCCTATATTAAAACTGAAACTTCTTTTTAGAAAGGTATCAAACAGGCTTTGCTTGGAACCTTTCCGGAATTAGGCGAGTAAGGATCTCGTTTCAACTTTCTCATCAGAGAATCAATTGATGCCCAACGAAAGCATACTATACCTGACATTTGATCACCATCATTTGAGTGACACAACACATGAACTTAAGGGTGACCTTGTTACTCCCCTATAATTCTCCTCTAAATGAAGCTCCCGTGACACGAACCCATAATCCGTGAAATTCAACATCTCATTTTAAAGCAGTTGGTGCCCACTGAGGCAGGTTAAACATTTTATGGCATTCGATCATCATCTTTTGAGTAAATTTAAAAGCGATTATATCATCCCTATAGAACTAATAACTTATCAAGGGACCAAAATGATCGCTACTAGTCTAGTCTGAATCTAATCGAATTTAACATTTTGAGTACTACGGATGAGTTTTAAGGGCCCGCAATGACTCGTTGAGGTTAACACCTCTCTATCTTGTATTATATTATGAAAAAATGAACCCATTTAGTACATCAAATAAGGTTATGTTGCCCTGTTAACAACCTACAACAATAATTGACTTAGACTTGTCGCCGACAGCTTTCAATCTAGTTGCTTATTGTTTAAACAATTCCTGAAAAAGAATTGTGAGAAAATTGCAAATTTTTTATTAACTATTTTAACAATTTTGTTTTTTATTAATTTGAAGTCATGGGTATAAATTTGTGTGCGTTGAGCTTTTAATAGACAGTGACCCTTGATTCAATTAAGGACGTTCACGTTTGGGCTGGGCCCACCATTTAACATCATCTTTACAGGCTCAGAAAAAAGCTAATTTTTTTAGAATTTATGAACTAATGATTCTTAATAATATAAATTAATATATTAAAGTATTAGTTAAAGGAATAAACCAGTAGACCAACGGAAATTGTTTTATCATTAAAAAGAAGCATCTTTCCTTTTGAAACTTATGTGCAAGAAGCCAATTGGTCAACTAATTAAAAAATAGTCAGAAAACATGACAACATGGTAGCATGTAAGTTGTCTTTAATTATGCTTTTATTAATTAAAATTTCAGCTTTCAAATGGAGATTAAAATGAATTGATGAGTAAACCTAAAGATGTTTATCGGTTCAGGAACACATCAAACCAAGGTTCGAGCACCATGATATGAATTGGCCCACGTCTGTCTTAAATTTATAAATATCCAAGTACTTTTCATCCAAATTTTTCGAAAGATTCACAAATTTTATCTCATTCACATCTCATTTCTATTTATTTATAATTTAAATCATCTATAAACACTTCCCTAATACGCTTACGTTGCAAGAAGCATATTATTAATTACTAAGAAAATAAGCAACTTTTTTACTTTGAAAGGAACCAACTTAAAACATGTTTGAAAATAAAAATTTGCTTAAAAGTAAAAGGGAGCTTAGCCAAACATTATCCACTCCCATTAAAAAACCTCTTACAATTGATCCAAATGGACATGCCAACTGCTACAGATTATTACATATTCTTGCGACATGAAACTACTAAACTAAAGAACTTTTGACTGGCACACATTAACTAATGTAAATTCAAACTCGGAGCCTCCAAAATTAAGCATCATATCAATCCACAAAGAGGACACAAAATTAAATAAAAAAAATGCCATGTTTGATATTTTAGACTCGACCGTCCAATACTACTTACCAAACAAGCCTAAAAAAGGAACCACTTGAATCAATACATGTTTCAGAATCAAATATTATCATCCAAGGTTTCAAACAGGCATTGGCTTAAGGTGAAATGTGTTCTAAACTTATAAATGAAAAAATACCAAGTTGTCGGCCTAGTCATATCATCTCTAACCCTAATTCTAAGATACATTCGTAGTGAATTGGAAAGTGACAAATTTGCTTAGTATAAGATTCCTAAAAAAGGTTAATGTACAAGGTTCTTTAGCTCAATTCAACTCTACTAAGCCTACAACATCATTGCGCTAAAGTATCTAACATTTAATACAAATATCACTCCAAAAAATTGTGAAATAAATAAGAGAAGAAAAGGCAAGCATGGTGCCCGAGTTGATAAGCCTGCCATAGAGAATTCAATAAAACATCTACAAAAAGTATTTCATCCTGTCATCTCTTCTCATAGCATTGTATACTGCTTGAACCTGGAGAACATAGATTCAATTACATTATTCATATGTAATGCTGTATATAAACATCTTTCGACATTTTTTTGTTGATGGACATGAAAGTCATTGCACTACGCATGTTGATGTCACTATTTTTTCTGTTGTACGTCCACATGCATAGCTACACAATTGCACATAGAGAGAGAGAGAGCACCTGCTCACTACAAACTACTTGAACAGGTCCAATGTTCACCGATACATATTTGCCACGTGAGGATACTCTGTGTTTCACTTGGCCCTGCAGCAGAACACGGAAACTTAAGTAGCCTACATTTAACAAATATGGGTGATCAAATAAGTTACTTGAGTTACACTTTATATCTGGTTTTACAAGATGCCCTGTGAGAACCATCTTACAAGGAGTGGAATTTTTTTGGTTATCCATTTTCCCCATTTCGGCAACGGTGGCTTCTAAACTCATTAGTTTATGCTGGAACTTCCTATGGGGATCAAAAAAATGTTGCCTGCTTGGAATCAAATTTTCTTACCAAAGCATGAGGGAGAGCTTGGTTTTAGAAATATTAAAAGTTGGAATGTTGCACTACTCTCCAAAACACTTCAGAACATCCATAGCAAGAAGGATATACTCTTTGGATTAAATGGGTAAATCAGGTACACCTTCAAGGTATGGACATTTGGGAATATACGCTGAAAAAAGATGACTCTCCATTGCTTAAAAAAGTATTGAATATTTGGGACAGCATTATTGGGTTGGAGCGTACAATACAAGTTGGTGTGAACTAGGTTTGGACAAAAGTCCCGAACCGAACCAACCGAATTGGACCCGAAATGAACCGGACCCAAAGGGCTCTTCTTAAGTTAAATACCTAAATGGGTATCAGAATCCAGAACCAACGGGTTAGGTTTGGTTCTCGATTCTAGATCAAGAACCGAATCTCCCTAATATTTTAATTTATTTATTTTAAGTGAGCCTAATTATTTTATTTTGTTCTAAATAAATTTGCTAACTAGTTAATTTAGCTCAAACCCAAAAATATGATTTTTCTTATTTCTAATTTTCAATTCAAGCCCAACTTAATCAAATTGACATAAGCTTTACTCAAATCTATTATTCTACTGTAGTGTCGTTTCTACCATTCTAAAGAAATTGAATTGGAGCTCGACAACATCTCTCTTCATTATTGTAAGTCTGCTATCTTCTTCTTCATGTGATCTTAACAATCAAATCTATGAAGAACTCAACAAAGAAGGGCACAAAAGATACATAAGATTGAACTACATTATTTTGTAAGAGCTAAAATTGAGTAAACCTAAAGATGTTTATCGGTTCAGGAACACATCAAACCAAGGTTCGAGCACCATGATATGAATTGGCCCACGTCTGTCTTAAATTTATAAATATCCAAGTACTTTTCATCCACATTTTTCGAAAGATTCACAAATTTTATCTTATTCACATCTCATTTCTATTTATTTATAATTTAAATCATCTATAAACACTTCCCTAATACGCTTACGTTGCAAGAAGCATATTATTAATTACTAAGAAAATAAGCAACTTTTTTACTTTGAAAGGAACCAACTTAAAACATGTTTGAAAATAAAAATTTGCTTAAAAGTAAAAGGGAGCTTAGCCAAACATTATCCACTCCCATTAAAAAACCTCTTACAATTGATCCAAATGGACATGCCAACTGCTACAGATTATTACATATTCTTGCGACATGAAACTACTAAACTAAAGAACTTTTGACTGGCACACATTAACTAATGTAAATTCAAACTCGGAGCCTCCAAAATTAAGCATCATATCAATCCACAAAGAGGACACAAAATTAAATAAAAAAAATGCCATGTTTGATATTTTAGACTCGACCGTCCAATACTACTTACCAAACAAGCCTAAAAAAGGAACCACTTGAATCAATACATGTTTCAGAATCAAATATTATCATCCAAGGTTTCAAACAGGCATTGGCTTAAGGTGAAATGTGTTCTAAACTTATAAATGAAAAAATACCAAGTTGTCGGCCTAGTCATATCATCTCTAACCCTAATTCTAAGATACATTCGTAGTGAATTGGAAAGTGACAAATTTGCTTAGTATAAGATTCCTAAAAAAGGTTAATGTACAAGGTTCTTTAGCTCAATTCAACTCTACTAAGCCTACAACATCATTGCGCTAAAGTATCTAACATTTAATACAAATATCACTCCAAAAAATTGTGAAATAAATAAGAGAAGAAAAGGCAAGCATGGTGCCCGAGTTGATAAGCCTGCCATAGAGAATTCAATAAAACATCTACAAAAAGTATTTCATCCTGTCATCTCTTCTCATAGCATTGTATACTGCTTGAACCTGGAGAACATAGATTCAATTACATTATTCATATGTAATGGTGTATATAAACATCTTTCGACATTTTTTTGTTGATGGACATGAAAGTCATTGCACTACGCATGTTGATGTCACTATTTTTTCTGTTGTACGTCCACATGCATAGCTACACAATTGCACATAGAGAGAGAGAGAGAGCACCTGCTCACTACAAACTACTTGAACAGGTCCAATGTTCACCGATACATATTTGCCACGTGAGGATACTCTGTGTTTCACTTGGCCCTGCAGCAGAACACGGAAACTTAAGTAGCCTACATTTAACAAATATGGGTGATCAAATAAGTTACTTGAGTTACACTTTATATCTGGTTTTACAAGATGCCCTGTGAGAACCATCTTACAAGGAGTGGAATTTTTTTGGTTATCCATTTTCCCCATTTCGGCAACGGTGGCTTCTAAACTCATTAGTTTATGCTGGAACTTCCTATGGGGATCAAAAAAATGTTGCCTGCTTGGAATCAAATTTTCTTACCAAAGCATGAGGGAGAGCTTGGTTTTAGAAATATTAAAAGTTGGAATGTTGCACTACTCTCCAAAACACTTCAGAACATCCATAGCAAGAAGGATATACTCTTTGGATTAAATGGGTAAATCAGGTACACCTTCAAGGTATGGACATTTGGGAATATACGCTGAAAAAAGATGACTCTCCATTGCTTAAAAAAGTATTGAATATTTGGGACAGCATTATTGGGTTGGAGCGTACAATACAAGTTGGTGTGAACTAGGTTTGGACAAAAGTCCCGAACCGAACCAACCGAATTGGACCCGAAATGAACCGGACCCAAAGGGCTCTTCTTAAGTTAAATACCTAAATGGGTATCAGAATCCAGAACCAACGGGTTAGGTTTGGTTCTCGATTCTAGATCAAGAACCGAATCTCCCTAATATTTTAATTTATTTATTTTAAGTGAGCCTAATTATTTTATTTTGTTCTAAATAAATTTGCTAACTAGTTAATTTAGCTCAAACCCAAAAATATGATTTTTCTTATTTCTAATTTTCAATTCAAGCCCAACTTAATCAAATTGACATAAGCTTTACTCAAATCTATTATTCTACTGTAGTGTCGTTTCTACCATTCTAAAGAAATTGAATTGGAGCTCGACAACATCTCTCTTCATTATTGTAAGTCTGCTATCTTCTTCTTCATGTGATCTTAACAATCAAATCTATGAAGAACTCAACAAAGAAGGGCACAAAAGATACATAAGATTGAACTACATTATTTTGTAAGAGCTAAAATTGAACATGTTATTAATTGAATTAATATAATTTTGTAAATATCAAAAAATTTAATTCTAGTAAGGAACCAGGAACCGAGCCAAACCGAACCCAAATGGTTCCACTCACTAAATATCTGAAAATTTTGGGTCCGATTTGGTTCTTGTTAAAATCGAACCGGATTGGACCATATCCAGCCCTATCATGAACGGATTACACGAGTGGACGGACGCTGGCAGATTCAACACTATGGCTGCTTATGAATTTTTCAGGCCGAAATGTACTAAGGCAACTTGGGTACCTACAATTTGGAATGGTTCTATCATCCCAAAGCATGCATTCATCCTGTGGTTAGGAGTTCTGGACATATTACAAAGTACAAACAAAGGACTGGTTACAACATTTACAGCTGGAATGAAACTGCACATCTTATGGCCAAATGGAGGAAACAGCACAACTCTTTCTTTTTTCCTGTCAGCAAGGCAGTTTAGAGTAGGTTCGTGGCTTATTGGCTATTAGACGCAATATATCTACTTTGTTGAGCTCATTAAAGTAGATGACGAAGGCCAGTGAAACGACTTGGTAAAGTAAAGTAAAGCGTATAGTACTAGCAACTACCATGTACTACATTTGGATGGCAAGGAATAGAAAGTCTTGGGCCACAAGTTAATTCTATTGCAAAACAAATTAAAACACGCATATACAAAGCTATGTTTGCTTTGTATATGTATGTTTTGATTCAATTTGAGTCTTTAGTCGTAGGTCCTTAGACTATCATTGGTACATCATTTCATTTTGATTGCTCAGATATGTTCGGTGTACATATATTTGTCACTTGATCTTTGCTTGAACTTGTACATGAGTTTTGATCTATGAAAATTTACATTTACCAATAAAAATAAAAGATCTAATAAAAATAACAACTTTAACCACCATCGACGACAACAACAAGAGTAGCACCCAACATAAATATGACATGTGAGTAACAATGTACAAAGTAGGATGTGATCCTAATACAGGAAATAAAATATGCAAATGAAAGTGCAGTTTTATGCATACTACATGTGAAAGAAATCTGAAATTGAAACGGTTCTTGACATTTCCTTGCTATCTTACCAAATAGATTACAAGTTACAAAACCATAAAGTTGAGTAAGATTGCGAATCTTACTTTTATAATGGTGGCAGGGTTAATATTGAATTACCATCTACACTTGGTCAAGATATTTCAACACCAACAAGTACAACATGTTTCATCTTTACTTTAATAATGGTGGCTAATTAAATAAGATTCTGACTCTTTCATCTCAACATTGTACGAAAAACATCCTCACTTGTATGCTTCTTAAGGAACTACATACCATTACGTACATGTAAAATAACTAATTGTGCCATCCAATCATCTTCTGCGCATGAATTTTCAAATAATAAATAAAGAGAGAGGAACATAATTTTAGCCCATGTTTGAATCTCATTAAATTACATTATAATTTTCTCTCTCCTATTTTCAACCACATACTCTTCCATAAAATAATATTACACGTAAACCGAAATTTATTATTTTTTTTCAACCACTCATTTTAAAAAAAAAACACTATTATCCTTTCAAATGATTGTAGAAACTTAGTAGGTTGTTGAGATTTCATCCCTGTATTACACATTATAT